CAAAAACCTTTGTGCACAAATGCTGTCATATAAAAAGGGGACGAACCCCACCCCCCAACACCCCCCCGCAAAGGGGGAGGGGGGGGGGAATTCTGGGAGTTGAAGTCCACTCATCTTAAAGTGGCCAAGTTTGGACAACCCTGCCCTAAGCTCATCTTTCTAAAACTTCTGATTTCCCTGCAACTGAAAGTAATTTTGCAATTAATTTCAAACATTTTTCCCCATTATCAGGCAATTTTGTAAACACATACAGATGTGTTATGTTTGCAGAAAGTAATCAATCTTCTCATGAATAAATCAGTTTTAAATTAACACTATCAACACTGCTGTTTGCACAATGCTCACTTGCCTCAGATTTGCAAAAGACAACAGCACTCAAGCCCAATTACCATGCAATCATATATATTACTCAGAATAAGCTTGCAGGGACCCTACTCAGTGAAGTGTGTATAGGACAGGATACCTCCTCTATCAGTAGCATAACTGTCATAATACAGCTGAAGTCCTTCATAATATAGGAATTACTGTGATCTATTTCTTGGGAACACAATAAATTTTATAAATATCTTACCATATGTGGATTTTTTTTTCTTCCTAGCGTTTTCCCACAGGTGCAAGGTCCGCTTTTTTTAGATCAACTGACTGTTGATCCATTGGTTGCAACAGAAATATTTTTCTTTGTTTTGGCCTAGAAAACAACTTATCAATCTGAATGACAATTCTTCCTTCAAACACTTTGTTTTTTTATTCCAAACAGCAGCCTCGAGCAAGATTAACTGGTTTCTTTCCCTCAAAATAGATTTTATAGGGCTCTGAAACTATCAAAGGGCAAATACCAACTTCATGTTTATTTTCCAGCTTCTGTAAATATAAAGAGGCTCTTGACTTTGGCTTAAGGACCAACTGTATTTTCATAGGGAGGCAAGTAGCTTGGAGCAAAGGAAGAGGTTCTGCTTCACCACAGGGCCTCCAGCTCGTCATGTTCTAGGGCAGTGACGGCGAACCTGTGACATGCCACGTTTTGGGTGACACACCAGCGTTCACCAACACCCAACAACAACTATTCTCCCTTTTTGAGTTACCAAAGAAACTGAGTTTGTTTTACTTGTATTT